TTCCTATATACAATATATATATATATATATATACAATATATATATATATATAAATAGTTTTATCATCCTTAGTTGTAAATCAATAGTTAGTACTAATATTGTAATATTTGACTCATTTCAGCCATTGGCTGCAAAGTTTTATAATGATAATATTAAGGACAGGAGTGCCATGCCAAACTTAGTGGTGTGTGTGTGTGTATGATTACACACCTTTCTTGGGAAGGCCTGGGTGCACCAAATGTCATTTCAGTTCATTAATAACTGTAAATGACTAATATGAAGTCAATGCTTAACATGAAATGGAAATCCCAGTATTATTTAATACCAAAGTCTTATCTTACAGTATGCATGCTATTGTCTGCAAGGATGCTATTTCTATCATCTAGCCCTTCTTTGCAGTATAATATTTTTCTTGTGTTCATCTATCCAATGATACATCTTTTGCAAAGCAAATCCAGCTAACAAGCTAGATTTAACCCCCCCATAAAAGCTATAAGACCTCCCAGGTACTCTGACCAGAGCCTGTTGATGTAGTAACTCCTTGACAATCGTTTGAAGATCTTTAGCGGAAGATTTTGGAAGATTTTTTTTTTTTTTTGATTTTTTTTATCATTTGACCACTGTAACTTTACAGTTACAACACCAGATTGTCGTGAGCTTGTTGGGAATGTGTCTGGCTGTTTACTTGGTGTCGAATGGTGAACAACCGAGCTATCACGCGATGAAGAAGGGCTTTCTACACTAGGAATCGACGACCAACAACCAGTTTGCACTGATACAGGTGATAAAGGTGCTACAAACGGTCTAAACGTAGATTCAATACATGTTCTTTTCGCTATATTAACACGTTCAAGCGATTCTGGCGGCGAGCTGGCAAGAGAACTTTCGCCAGTTTCTAGGACGCGTTTACTCGAAGTGACAAGCCCTTTTAGTATAGAAAGCAGTTCCCGTTCCTGTCTTTTTAGATTGTCAAGTTTCTTTAGCTTGTCCAAACACGATTTACAAATATATACAGAGTCGATTTCTACGGCAAAAGGCAGACCAGAGAGAGAAGCACGTACATCGAACTTTGCCTTTCCATCTACCAGGTAACGCTGATAAGCTTTCTCTATTATACCACGACAAAGAGTGCAGCTCATCGGTTTAAAATATAAAAAAAAACCTGTGGGAAATGCAATGCGGTACTCGTCCAAAGGATATTATCGCTCACATGGTCGTTCGAAACTCAGTGTCGCTCATAGCAAACGCCATTTTGTTTTTCTCAGATACGTAATTATGCAAATATTTATGCTAGATTATGCTAAATTATGCTAATTAGAGCAGGCAAGATTAGTGACGAATGTTCTCAGACGAATATAATTCGTTATTCGTCTGACACTCAGGCTAGAATATCGCAGTCATTGCTGAGTTCATTATCGGAGCTCGATGTACACACGTCCATCGCTGATCGCAATAGTCTATGATGAACTGTGCCAAACGGTAAGTCGCCAAATTCGTACAATTGTTCCAAAATTTCATCGTATGAAATTGTTGGTTTCTCTCGCTTTAATGCTTCAATCAAGCATAAATATCGATGACTAGGAGATGACCAGGACGTGCAATGGAGTTTTTCTTTGGAGAAAGAGATCTTGTACTGCAAAATTGTTTCCAAACTTTTGCAACGGTTACATGGCTGACACCGACAGAACGCGCGATGGCAGAGTACGAGCTATTGAATTGACCAGTTAAAGTATTTCCTTCTTTCCTTATAATTTTATCAATAATTAGAGATCTTAACTCTTTTGACAACGCTTTCCCGTTCACAAAACTCCTACCACTGCTGCTGACACTCCACATATTAAATCCATAAACTTGCTGTATTAGCGACTCATTCCGTTATACCGTTACTGTTAAATTATATAAAATGCGCGCCATTTTGCACTTAGTAACATTGACAATGGCCCTTAGCAACGCGCTTGTTTTAACGCGAAAACAATCACCGGAAACGGAAGGCCTGGAACGGTAAATCGAAATCCACAGTATTTGTCCGCGATATGTTTCATTAAATTTGTTCTGTGGTCGTCAACTAGAATTTCGTTGTCATCATCTTCATGGTCTGTAAACAGCTCAGATGTTGAGTCCAATGTGAAATGTTGGAAGACGTTCACAATCATTTTTTTCTTCAGGTTTCCCTCGTTGCTTATTTGTTTGCCGTCTTTACCCGTAACAGTAGCTTTGAAAACGTGCAGTATTCGACCGTTCGAAACACAGATGTTGATGGGATCTGCAAACCACCCTTGTTGACAAATGTGGTAAATGACGATGCCTTTCCTGCTTCATGATATATGGTCGAAGTGACTATATGACCGGCAGTCGGTCACGGTTTATCTGAAATACTAAATGGCCGGAAGTACAGTGATTATTGTTAAAGTTGAATTTTTATAAGATAAACCGATCCCCAACCCAAAACCCTTCTCTAACCCTAACCCCTAACCTTTTGAGAGTTAGAAAAGTCGGAAAAAGAAATTCAATGCTAAGTCAGACAAAACACATCCCGACACCGATTGCGTTTCACTTTCCGCACGCAGCGCCTTTGCCGAATACGCCAACAGCAAGCTCGGTAAATGCTATTAAACTATGATTATTGCATGGTCATTTTCTTGTGAAATATTAGTGCTAGGCATTTCACAATTACCAATAACCACCCCCAAAAGTACCATCTCTGAACCATATAAGCACCTCAGAATAGCCAAAGCTTTTATGGTTTGGTAGATAGCAGTATGGCGAAAGCGCCGTTTTTGGGTGTGGTCAGTTTCGGACGTTTCGCCCCGGATTGGGGTTCGGGCAGCGTTACCATGTTGACCGTCATGGTCAACTTGCCCCAAAACAGTTGAGATTATCTGTCCTAAATGAAATGCATACAAACTCATATTGAAATGCATACAAACTCGCATGAAATGCATACAAACTCACTTGACATTTAGGGAGATCATTGATGTAGTATTTAAAATACGAGAAGGAGATTCAGTCCTTCCACTTCTTGTAACTTTTGAAGTTCCTCAATGTGGTGCCACCTTATTGCATTTCCCTCACCATCAACAATGGTCCCAAGGTGTGCCAAAGCATTACGAGCAAGTTTAAGCATGTGGCAGGGGTCAAGAATGATAAAAACTTCTTCACCAGTAGTTGGATGAATAATTGAAGTGGTCATCTCATTGTAACTGCCATTAAAACTACAACCGAGAATTTCAAATGTTCTAAGGTTGACTGCTGTGCCATCTGCTGTCACCGACCATACCTTTAGTCCAGCCTTTGCTGCCATTTCCAATGACTTCGATACTAATTTTGCCTGGTCTTTGGCGCTGATTTTATGTCCTAAAAAGTATCCAATGGGACATTTCCGATGACTTCTCGTTCCGACCAACAGAAAAAGTAATGCCTCGGAAGCCATATTAAACCTGGGTCACATTTAAACGAAGTTGACCATTTTCTTATCAAAGATTGATTTGGCAATGGGATAATGGATCTAACATATTTGTATGCTTTCGGTGAGTAAAAGTATAAAGTCACAGCAAACTCTTTTATTTCATCCGAATATCTCCTTCCTGATGGTGATGCCTTTAAGTTTTTGAAATTATACAGAAATTGAAGATGTTTATTTTCAAATGTTGATTGTAGTTATCAGTGATCTTTCTTCCAACACTTTGATGGCTTCGTTCATAGTTTTGACTTTCTGTTTTGACCTTCGTAATTGCTGTTGTAAGTTGCGAATTTTTTGTCTAAGTTTTGTTTGTAACTCATCTCTTTTTTCTTCTATATATGCAGTTTTGGCGTTTTTTTGTCATCAAATCAGTTGGGGGGATTGGTCTCTTGTTCGACAGGTCCAGCCTGCATCTTGTTTTGTTGGGTATCGTCGTATACAACATGGTTGCTGCGTCATGGGACTTTGATGGTATGACATACTTTTATAGTCGACATGACCCATTCACTGAAGGAGGGATGATGTAATCTGTTACTTGGAAGTGGTGGCTACAAATACGGCTAGTACTGGTTGCCCTCCATGGTTCTTTAAGTATATTGGGCCTATTGGCTTCTTGAACAAAATGCTCCCACTCACCCACTGCTCTAAGGCAGGCTTATCTTTCATTGGAAATCTATAATAGTTACAACATACATATATTGTGAGCAGCCAATTTGGCTTTATTGGTACTGTAGTACTGAAAAAATGACTCTTACATGGTTTGTGCTGTGGTTTTCAACATGTAAGGGTTACACTTAAGTCCCACACAGACGAGTAATTTTTCCTTGACACATTTTATTTGCTTGTGTGTATGCGAAAAAAATGACAAGTTTTCCTTGACAAGGAGACTGGTTCAAAACGTGGTCATGCCGAATTTTGAACCAGGAAAACTTGACAAGGAAAAATTGCTTGTCTGTGTGGGCAAAGATGCAACAATATAGACACTGATGCTTGTGATGTTACTCTGAGTGTATATCCAAACCGGCCAAGCTTGAAAATTATGCCTGGCCACGGTGGGAAACGAACCTATGACCTTTCGAATACTAGACCAGGCATATTTTTCAAATATATATATATATATATATATATATATATATATATATATATATATATATATATATATATATATATATATATATATATATATATATATAAATACAATTTAGAAAAAATATATACTAAAATGTAGTCTCTATGCTAAAGTGTTGCAATTGAGCGTTCTCTAGTAGACGCTTCTGTTCTAATTTGTTCACAAATTGTTTGTGCGAGAGCATGTCTCGGAGAGAGACTTCAACTTACAGTGTTCCAGAGGCGAATTGCGCTTGTTTGAAACATTCGCGATCCTGATACCTTTTTGTAAGTAGGTATTACAGCATATTTCTATTGGTTGATGCTCTAGTATTGTAATTATGCGAATCTTTCAGATAACGTATGTATTCCGAAAAATAATCTGGGCAATGCCCTAAACTAATTTTATGTAACATATAAAGCTTTCGGCAGTTTATAGTGTCGGAAATTGGCAGCCATCCTAATTCTGTAAATAGTTTGACAGAGTTATCGCGGAAATTAGCATTGAGTATCAGACTTGCACATCGTTTTTGGATTTTCAATATTCTCATGAGTTGTTCTTTGGAGCAATTGCCCAAAACAGTAAAGCAATACTCTATAGGATAGGTTTTATAATCGCATTGTAGAGTAACTTTCTACAGTGAATTGTTAGATGTTCTTTCGCCCTTTTCAGGAGACAAATTCTAGAGTTTAGTTTTCTAATCAAATACTCAATGTGTTTGTTCCATTTTAAATGTTTATCAAGTTTGATTCCCAAAAGCTTTTCGTTTTTGATCTCACCGAGCTTAGTTCCATTCAGGTAGAGATCCAATTCATCTTTGTCAGAATGACGAAGTTTTTGCACTGTTCCAATCAATAATTTCTTTGTTTTAGTAGTATTTGATACCATATTGTTGACTGTGAGCCATTATTCTGTAATGTCCAATGCGTTTTGTAATGTTTGCTGGATTTCATCACACGACTTGCTACTCGACCAAAGTGTTGTATCATCCGCATAAATATCCGCGTTAGCTTCTCCAAGTGACATTGGCAGGTCATTTATATATATGGAAAAGAGTATGGGTCCCAATATCGATCCTTGTGGAACTCCTCGTTCCAACATCAGAGAACTTGAAAGTGATCCTAATACAGAACATTGTTGAGAGCGACCATCTAAATAGGATGTAAACCACTGCAAGGCCTGTTGACTAATATGGTATTTAGCAAGTTTCCTTAGAAGTACATCATGATTGACTAAATCAAACGCCTTACTAAAATCCATGAAGACAGCCCCAATAAGTTCACCATCATCCATTGCTTTGAGCCACTTGTCAGTTATGTTAATAAGGGCAGTTTCACACGAGTGATGTGATCTAAACCCGGACTGGTTTAAATACAGCAGATCATGGGATCTCAAGTGCTCGCAGAATGATAATGAAACATGTCGTTCAAGTGGTTTCGAGAGCATAGATAAAACAGAGATTGGCCGAAAATTGCCTCTTTCGTGGGTCGATTCTTTTTTATGACAGGGGGTAACTTTAGCTCTTTTGAATTCATCAGGGAAAATCCCACTTGTGATACTGGCATTATATATATTTACCAAACTTGAAGATATTGCTGGTAAGGCTGCTTTTAAAAGGCGAATGCTGATTCCGTCTAAGCCCGTTGCTTTGTTAGAAGGGATAGTTTTAATATCAAGTGGATCGGTGGAATTTCAAAGAGAGGTGGAGAATTGCTTGAACGGGTCACTATAAATTCATGGAGTAAATCATCGAAATGAGCAGTCATCTCAGGGTTATCTGCCCTTATATTCAAGTTTATAGATTGTGGAAGTGATGTAAAATATTGGTTAAAAGCATTTGAGATTTCTACCGGATCTGATATAAACCTACCATCTACTTCAATTTGCTGTGGTTGTAATTGTAACGGCGTAATTGGTACAACACGCTTTAGAACTTTCCAAAGGTTTTTGACATTGTCTTTATTCTCCATAATTTGTTGTATAAAGTAGTTAGACTTAGCATTGTTAATGAGTTTGACCACATGATTTCGTACTCGTTTATACATTACTCTGGCGAGAATATTCGATTTACTTCGCGATTTTAATCGATCTCTGATGCGTATCTGTTGCATAATTTCTGCGGTCATCCACTCATTAAGTTTTTTGTTTTTAATTCTGCGAGATACAATGGGAGCGTGTTGATCTACAATGTTAATGAAAAGGGATTCCCAAGTGGCAAACATTTCGTTTACGTCATTAAATGCATCCAACAGTGACCATGGAACATTGTTTAAATCGTTTAGAAACTCATGTTCATTGAATTGTTTGTAATTTCTATAAGTTATTGACTCATGACAGTTTTTCCGTCGGTTTGCTCTGCTTGCCTTATGTATGAAGCACACCGGATAATGGTCAGTTAAACCGTATATAGGCACTTTGATATTAATTATCCTATCTGAATGTGTAGTATAAACATGATCGATTAAAGTTTCAGTTCCATCAGACACACGTGTAGCATCCTTAACTAGCTGCGTAAAACCTGCGTCCTGAAATACCTTAGATAATTTGTCATCAGTGTTTTTAAACAGGTCAATGTTAAAGTCACCGGCGACCACAACTTCATTGTGCTGGCTTGATGCAGCCTCGATCAAGTTTGCACTGAATGCTATTATACAGTCTAACAGGGGAGTTCGGAGGACGGTATAAAACAACAAATGCCGTTTTCGACCCAGCAGAATGTATTTCACTTCTAAACAAACATATTCTATGACTATGTTATCTGCATTAATGTCCAGGGAAATTCTTTTACAAATGAGGTTAATATTCTTAATAAATATTGCTACACCACCTCCTTTCTGTCCCCTTGTTCTATCACATCGATATATTTCATAGGTTTATTTGTTTCATTCATTCCCATTTCATAGGTTTGTTTGTTTCATTCATTCCCGTGTTTGTTTGTTTCATTCCCATTCCTAAGTGACTAGATTGCACAAAAATGCCTCAATTATAGAAAAAAACATCTCCCAACATGGTAAATGAAAACTTCATGCCTGGCCGGCCTGGGCTCTACGTTTTTCCCCAGTCTAGGACCTGTATATGAGTTTGTATGCATTTCATTTACCACAGGTAATCTCAACTGTTTTAGGGTAAAATGACCATGGCGGTCAACATGGCATATGTGCCAAAACCTGAATCCTGGACGAAAGTCCTGAAAATGACCCCGCCCTGAAACGGCAGTGCCGACATAGCTCTAACTTCCGAAAAGCAAAAGCGACAGCCTTTCTGAAGTGCTTACAGTGTTTAGACGGGTTGCTTTTAGGGGTGGTTATTGGAAGGAAAAATTTGTGGAAGTATAATATTTTACAAGAAAATGACCATTTATCACCCCAGGTAAATTGCTGATTATGCAGAAAATAACTAATATGCCTGGCAGAAATTAAATATCCTTATTTCCTAAAAAAAATTACCATGGGATGAAAAACTATGCTTAATTTAATATAATTATTGCAGTTTTCATAAGGATAGTCACTGTTTTCTATAAATATAATATATTTTATTTCACTTACCCCCCACGAAAACACGATTTCAGCCATATTTTGCCGTCTTGTTCGCTTTATATCGCCGTGTCTCGCAAATAACATCCAGTTGTTGTACTTTTACATAATGGCAAATGGCTAAAAGAGATTTGAACCAAGTTTCGGCAAGTTTTAGAGCAGTGCAGTGTATTTTATCTTCGATATTGTGTCCTTCGATATTTCGTCCATATACCGCCATTTTAATGGCTCGCCGATTCTCTGCCCGATAAATGCCACTTCTTTGTCTTCATATGTATTTAGGTTATAGTATCCAAGAGTAGTTCGCTGTAGAATAGTCCTAAAAGAAAAATTGAAAAAATTACTTGCACTTTGAAGGAAAAAACCTCCCAAAACAAATTCAGATAGGAATAAAAACAAATCATTTGAAAGTCACGCGCAATCTTCGCGAAAATTCCTTGACAGGGGGGGGCGAATATTTTCACGAGACGTTGTTCGCCACCACAGCAATTCAAGTTTAATTTTAAACTAAATATATTGTATTTATTGTATCTTATGATTTAAAAATAAAAATTAAAAACATTAAATATTTACGTATTTTTATTATCAATCATAAAAATGCAATAAATATCATATATCTAGATATCCAGTTAGGTTGCTGTGGGAATAACGTTTCGTGAAAATATTCGCCCCCCCCCTGTCAAGTAGCCACGAGGAATTTTCGCGAAGATTGCGCGTGACTTTCAAATTATTTGTTTTTATTCCTATCCTGAATTTGTTGTGGGAGGTTTTTTCCTTCAAAGTGCAAGTATTTTTTTCAATTTTTCTTTTAGGACTATTCTACAATGAAGTACTCTTGGATACTGTAATCTAAATACATATGAAGACGAAGAAGTGGCATTTATCGGGCAGAGAATCGGCAAGCCATTAAAATGGCGGCATATGGACGAAATATCGAAGGACACAATATCGAAGATAAAATACACTGCACTGCTCCAAAACTTGCCGAAACTTGGTTGAAATCTCCTTTAGCCATTTGCCATTATGTAAAAGTACAACAAGTGGATGTTATTTGCGAGACACAGCGATATAAAGCAAACAAGACGGCAAAATATGGCCGAAATCGTGTTTTCGTGGGGTTAAGTGAAATAAAATATATTATATTTATAGAAAACAGTGACTATCCTTATGAAAACTGCAATAATTATATTAAATTAAGCATAGTTTTTCATTCCATGGTAATTTTTTTTAGGAAATAAGGATATTTTATTTCTGCCATGTATATTAGTTATTTTCTGCATAATCAGCAATTTACCTGGGGTGATAAATGGTCATTTTCTTGTAAAATATTATACTTCCACAAATTTTTCCTTCCAATAACCACCCCTAAAAGCAACCCGTCTAAACACTATAAGCACTTCAGAAAGGCTGTCGCTTTTACTTTTCGGAAGTTAGAGCTATGTCGGCACTGCCGTTTCAGGGCGGGGTCATTTTCAGGACTTTCGTCCAGGATTCAGGTTTTGGCACATATGCCATGTTGACCGCCATGGTCATTTTACCCTAAAACAGTTGAGATTACCTGTGGTAAATGAAACGCATACAAACTCATATACAGGTCCTAGACTACACATCAAGAATGTTTCAACTAGCCGAAGGTAATGACAAAATTAGTTTTTATCTCCCCTAAAACGAGTTTTTTTAGGAGTTTCGACCCGATTAGACGAAATCGCATAAAAATATTTTGTTTGGCCGTGTTTGTTTTTACGTGGAAAGACTGGGGGTGACTTGCATAATTGAGCATCAAGCTTCCGGTTGAAGGTAGCGTTCCAGTTATATTCATTTCACTGTTGGAAGAGATTATTTCGCTGGCCTCAAAGTGACAAAACGTATTATAAAGCAACGGTCTTACTAACACTAACCCTATTATTCCAAACACTAACCCTAACCTTAATCCTTACCCTAACCCTAACCCTAACCTAACCTAACCCTACTCCAAATTTGTTTCTAAACCAATCTTGAAGAAAAAATTTTTGACGAAATGTCATTCTGAGGTCAGCGAAATAGTATTTACCTTCACTGTTCTGCACTATGGTTCTGCACTCTTGTACCGCCATCTTGGATTTATCATGTAGGCCCCGCCTGCGCTAGGTATGAAACGAGATTGCCTGCTCGCAGGCTAGAACATGAAAACAAATATTTTTAATTTTCACAATCAAAAAGACAAAAACATTAAACATGGAGATGTGGAACAAAAACTCAGAAAGAAAGCAACGTAGAAGTAAGTCTACTCATAAAATGGACTGTGGACCGAAGTATTCGAAAGTTTCGGAATCTTTGCGTTACATTACGTCAGGTTCAGTTCAATGCTCGATGTTTTGTGGCGGCAGGCAGTGTAAATATGAAGGACAGGCGAAGTGGAGTGACAGTGAAATGGTTATCAAAGGTTTATATTCTTCATGGTATGTTTCCTTAATTTGTTCTGTGTTTAGTTTGAACTATAGATAAAACGTTTATGTTTCTTTAACATTAGGACTGTTGAAAGCTTTATATACGTTCATAAATGATTTTGTTTTAAATATATTCAAACTTGATGTTGTCACATGCATGTCGCTAATCGATATACATCAATTGTTGACATTGTTTATAGTTCAGCTTTTCTTAATGTAAATAAATGTCTAAATTCTCACTGAATATCAAGTTGATCATTTAGGACGTGTAATTGACGCTTATTGCTATGCTTGATTGTGTTTATATGAATGTATAAACCTCCTGGCTTCTTCTGTAAAACCTTATAATTTTTACAAATTCACAATTAATATTCCTAGGAAACGGGAATAGACGCGGGAAAACAAATGAAAGCGGGGTTTTCCCAGGCCTACTTGCTTGAAAACTCAAATTGTGGATGCCATTGTGTCAGCTTTAATAATTAAATAGCTTTTTTCTTGTTTATTCGATTTATATACTATTTTTGTGTGTCTTAAAATTTTGTCCCCACACATGAAAATATCTAGAAAGGCCATCCCCAATTTTATTTTCATTTCCCATCACCCGATCATGTTGAGAAAAAATCGGTACAATAAATAATGTACCAATCAATTTGAAACTTCAACATCCCCGGAAAGTTGACTTCAAGTCTTCTCCAGGGAGTAGGGAATTTGACGTTCTAAGTCTTCCATGCAGTGAGGTACTATTTGATAAGGGTGGGGAATTTGAACCGGAAGTCTTAAAATTTTGCCTGTTTTCGCTATTTATTAATTAAACAGAAAAGAGTTTGCAATGGCAGTGAATACAGTTTCTCAGATTTCGAGGGAAAAGGGCTCAATTTTGAGAAAAACTGGCTCAAAGAAACGTAGTACATGGAAAAGCTAGTATGTGCTTCATTTGAAGATATGTACTATAAAATTGTGTAAAACTGTTAAATTTCCATAAGGTTTCCAAACTGTTCAAGTGACTTTGCTATCTCACCAAAAAAAACTGTCTATAAGCACCATCTACATTTACTGAAGGTGAGGCATATGAACACTTAATTTCTTTTTACGGTGGCATATGAAGACATTTTTTGCACAGGGGGTGGAGAATTTGATCAGTCAAATTTCAAAAAGTTCAAAATCTCGGGAGAGGGCATGTTGAAGTTTTGAATTGATCGGTACATAATATCTACAATTGACTAACAAGTAATCTGGAAAATGACAAAACGGCCACAAAACTAAACATAACATATGTATTAAATAATTTAAAACAACTTTGCTTCCAACAGTCACAGTCTGTTGGGCAAGAGAAGGACTATATATATGCACACAATTGACATTGCATGTAGTGAGGCCCAGTGTTACGGTAAATTCTGACAGGCGACATTGCTTTGAAATGGTGACATATCAAAAACGAAATAGCGACATCAGATTAATCGGACACAAACTCTGTCTAAATTGTTACTGCAACATGGAAAAGGAGGAAAACAATAGAAAAATTCTGAAAGTGGCATATACCACGGTAGCAATGTTCTCAAGCGATAATATTTACTTGTTTTGAAAACCAGTTGAGCGAAATGCATATCCACCAACAGGGCCTAGTTGGATGAAATCCCCATAATTTTCACATTAATTAATCACATACCTTGTAAATCTGTTACAGGCAGAGACAGATTTTCATATTTTCGTTTGGGGGGGGGTGGATAAATATCTGGGGGGTGCTGCTGCTTGCTTTAGCCGGGGCGTGGTGGCAACGCCCGGAAAGGCCAAGGAAAAAGTTTAACAAAATTTGTTTTCTAGGCCTGCATGGCGAGATCTGAGACCATAATATTTGGTAATTTTACAAATTTAGTAGTAAATTTAGTAGTATTTTACAAATTTAGCGGGGGTGCCAAATGCCTTTGAGGGGGTGCCAAATGCCTTTGAGGGGGTGCAACATTTCTGGGCGCACCCCGCACCCCCCAGAAAATCAGCTTGACAAACACATTATAGTTTAAGTTGCATTGTGCCCCATTTACTGAGCTACAGAGTCTAGCTGTTGCTGAGTGTTAATCACAGATTGGGTCATCCCGACAAACATTCATACCTTCCTCATGCACAAAATTGAAAGTTAACCCCGGCTCTACCCTGTTTCTTCCCTCCCCCTCTAGACAGCAGAAATTTCCTATTTGGGGGGGTTCTGAAATGACCCATTCATGTACCGTAAGCCTCCGAATATAAGTCCTCACGCTCACCTCATCAAAGCTCACCAAAGCCCTCCCGAATATAAGCCCACCCGAATATAAGCCCACTTGTTTATCACTATTGTTTATCACTATTACCACTATTAATCACTACCGTATTATTACTATGCTTAACACTTGTTTATCACTAATTACTATTACTAAATGTTTATCACTATTACACTAACACAAAAGATCGTCCATCCTCCGGCTTATAGTCGGAGGCTTACGGTATATTAGAGAGTTTAAGTTCGACTTCCGATACCAATACCGATACTAACAACATGTCATGCGCATGCTCTCTGCTCGCAAGAAGCACGAGGACAAGTGTATTGCAAGTCACCACTACCGAAGTCGGCCTTGTATTGGAAGGCGGGGGAATTGTAAGATAAACTCATATAAATCGGATATTTCATAATTTTTACGATAATTTTTACATAATTTTTAAACATGTAAACTATTTGTTTATTAGCATCGCCTGAGTCATGTTTTAGTCGGAATTTTAGCTCACCTGCCGTTTAGTATACCGCACATTTTCGGTTACGATTAATGTGTTCTATACTTTCTATACTTTATCTGTCGTGATAACTTAACGCTATAAAATTCCCGGTACCAAAATGAGAACGGAAGTGACATTGGTATCGGTATTGGTATTGGAAGTCGAACTTAAACTCTCTATTATTGATGCCAGTAACTACAGTAAGAGTAATAAATTATGTATATTTAAAATACTCATTAATAATTCATAAACCTTGTGGCAAATCATGTCAGTCATAATATGTCATGTGGATTGACTTTATATCTGATAAAACACATGTGGCATTATATAATTATTGTTCATCCTAATTCATATTCTTATATAATGAATACTAATGAGACGCCAGAGACAGCATCTTTTGTAGTCGTATTTTAAGTTACCATATATCTGATAAAACACTCCTACTCATGTTTTAAGTACTGTTTAATAAACGAGCAGGAGTGTTTTATTAGGTTTAAAGCCACGAGCGCGCAGTGCGAGTGGCTTTAGACCTATAATAAAACACGACCTGCGAGTTTATTAAACGGCTTCAAACACGACTACAAATTCGATAGATATACTGCCTTATTAGTATTCATTATATAAAGAATACTAACGAGGACACGACTGCAATAGATTACTGCCTTATTAGTATATATATATATATATATATATATATATATATATATATATATATATATATATATATATATATATATATATATATATATATATATATATATATATATATATATATATATATATATATATATATATATATATATATATATATA